GGGCCGCTTCGTCGATGGTATTAACCGTATCCTCCGTCATCACAACCGTCCCACTGTCATTGTCGTTTGGTGTGCATTTCCGCCTATTGATCGCCTTCCGGTGCGCGTTCGCGGGGGAAGGGGAGGCGATCTTTGGAAGAACGACGCCTTTCGCGCGACCGGCGGCGCCTTTTTTAGCCGCGGAAAGCGCCTCGCCCTCCCCCCCCCTTTGTCATCCGAGCGGGTGGGATGGATGGCAGCGGCCGCGGTGGTGGAAGAAAGGGGGTTCAAACCGGGACGAGAGAAGGAAAACGAGGGCGAAAGAAGAGGGGGAGGGGAGGATCACAGGGCGGCGGCGAAGAAGGAGCGCTGTACTCCGCGACGGCCGTCCGGCGTAGGGCAGCAAGCCGCTGACTAATCAGCGCCCCCGCACGACAGAACCCCGCGCTATTACTACCGGTCAGGAGTGCAGGATTGGGATTCGCCGCTTTGGCCGTATCGGCGTGCGCCGGTAGGGGTTTGAACGGGGGCGCAATGGAGAAAAAACGCTGCACCTCCTCGCGCAATTGCTGCCTGGCTTCCTCGAAAAGCGTCATCGCGGTGAGCGAGGAATAGTGATACCAGTCGTTCGCTATTCGCTGATGGTCAGTCAGTCAGTGGACAAACCACGTACAGGTGGAGTTGCAGCTCCTGTTTGTTAGGTTTTCCTCCCTGAGGGAATTACAATAACTTGATGGGCAAAAGACAGTGTTAAGGGTAGTAAAGGCTATAAGTATACACAAAATCAAAATCTAAAACGCCTTGAAAGATCACTTCCTTCCCTTTTCAAGGGAAAGAATAGTTCAGCTACTATACAAACTGCCTTAGGAGTAATCAAATCCCTCAAACAAGAGATTGATAAATGTAGAGATAACGAGATCCATTGAATCAGATGGAATATATTGATGGTATGAGGAGGAAAGAATATAAGCAAAACAACAGAAGCAAAGGTAAAGGGTAAACCCATTTGATCGAGATCAACTATTCGAACATTTTCTAATTATGTTTTCAAGAGGAGGACTTTTATAAATACGGAAGCATAAAGTTGGTTACCCCTTAAAGTCCATCCCCATAACCGAAAAATATGAAAATATAAATTATAAATATCAAATAATAATATCTCACTCGCTGAGCTTTGTGCATAAAATGTAAAAAAAAAAACATATATCAATATGAAAAATACAAAGGAAGATATGAGTACTCGAGATCAAAATATCCGCCTTAGCATTTTTTAACAAAAAACATAAATTAAGGATTTCTTTCAATATAGTAATAAATAAACGTAGGCATACTAATTTCA